TAGGGCAAGGACTCTGTACTCCCCTCCCTGAACTAGAATAGCGATTTGGCCTCTGACTTGGTGTCTGTGTGATTTCAGGCAGCTTCATCCATTTCCCTGTGCCTCAACCTGTTCATCTGAAAAAATGGGAAATTCATCATCTCAGAGGGTTAATCAGCAGAATTAATTTACAAAAAGATTTGGGGACAGCGGGTGTGGTGGCCCACGCCTGTCATCCCAGCAGCTCAGGAGGCTGAGGCAGGAGGATCTTAAGTTCAAAGCCGGTTTCAGCAAAGGCGAGGCCCTAAGCAACTCAGTGAGACCCTGTCTCTAAATAAAATTTTAAAAAAATAGGACTGGGGAGGTGGCTCAGTGGATGAGTGCCCCTGGGTTCCATCCCTAGTACCCAAAACCAAAACAAGAAAAAAAGATCTGGGGACGATGCTTACTCAACAATATATACTATGTATGTATTTCTTTTTTTGTCTTCTTGTTTCTTCTCTGTGTGTATGTGTTTAAGTGCACTTAAAGGTTTTATCTGTGTGCTCTGTGAAGACAGGAAGTAGTCATTCTCATCAACCATTTTAACTTTAGGACCCAGCCCAGGCCTTGAGGCATATAAATGGAGTATTTTTTTTTTTTTTTGGATGTTGGGTGGATGAATAAATGAATAGTTGATTAGGAGGCTCCGGATGGTGGCCCTGCCTTCCCTTGTAATGAAGCAAACTGATCTGAAACGGTATCTGTGATTAAATATTGCAGAGGGCAGGATCAAAAAGTCTTATTCTGGACTCACTTGTATCCTCAATGTTTATCTTTTCCTTGGTAAAGTTCTATAGGATAAGAGCCTCCACAAAAATACAGCTTAGAGAGATCAGAGGTTTCTTTCAACACACCCGGCTCCTTTTCTCCAGGATGACATTTTAGGCAGCATTGACATATGCGATGTAGTCTCACACAAGAACAGGGTAATTCATTAACATGCACACGAAAGGAAGAAGTCCACGTTCAACCTTTACCACCAGAGTCCTTGAGAAGGAAAAGAAATTCTAAGCAGCTACAAGTGATTTTCAAAGCCACGCTGTTTTTTACCACTCAAGGAGGCCGGGGTGATAACAGGGCCCTTTGGCTATGAAATACCTGCTGCACTTGCGGCAGGGTTGAGTTTGCACAGGGGAAGAAGGAGAGCTTCAATGAGGACCCGCCTGACCCTTTGGAAGGAAGATTTCTCTGCTGAAGAGCTAAAAGGGGCTTTTGTAGTCAGACAGTCCAAAACATACGTTTACAAATCCCAGAGATGTGAATGGCTCGTCTAGGTGACCTAGTTTGTTGAAGACAGATTTAAGATGATATTTCATAATAGGGGATTTTTTTTTTATGCATGGGCCATCTTTCAGGATGGTTTTATGATGGGATGATTCATGTCCAGGCAGAGTGTTAGAGGCAGTTTCTAAAAGAAACTCAGAGCCTGCTTTTGGATGGCCAAACACCGGGCTAGATGTCACAGACAAAAGCCATCGATTACCTACAGGAATGTGTCTGCAATCTCTCCCATGGACAAGGCAGATTCTAGAAGACTGTTCACAAGTCCATTCATTCGAAGGTCAAAGTGACACTGTACCATAGACTCCCCAGGTGCAAAGCCGAGGAATCCAAACATTTTCGTTTTGATGCATACCTTGTTCTTATCTGGGGAAGTTTGGATAAGGGGGCGGGGTTTCTGGACCCGATTTTTCTATCAATACGTAGATCAAGTATCTCACACCACATGTGTCCTGCTGGTCTTACTTTGGGTTACTTAGAAGAGAAACACGAAGCAAGGATTTCTGTGCCCGAATGAATTCTCTCAGGAGAAAGGCAGAGATAGAGACAGGATAAAGGGAGGAAAGGGACCTAGTAGGAAGTTTTCTCAGCTGCCTTGACTCCATGGGGAACTCTGAGGCATGAAATACAGGGATGGGGATGGGAACACACCACTCATCAGGGAATCTGGATAGGGCACTAACAGCACCCACCACATGGCTCACTGGGAACCTTGGTGTCTTATAAATCTGGTTTATTATTTAGAAAATTAGGGTCCCTTTAACCATTGAAATAATGGGAACAAAGCCCCCCAGGAGTTTCTTGGGCAGGATTTGAGAGAGATTCGATACTGTAACATGAAGGGGTATGAGTAAGAATCTAAACTCTTTTTTTTAATATATTTTTTTTAGTTGTTGATAGACCTTTATTTTATTTATTTATTTCTATGTGGTGCTCAGAATCGAACTCAGTGCCTCACACATGCTAGGCAAGCACTGTACCACTGAGCCACAACCCCAGTCCCCAATCCCCTGAACTCATTTTTTTTTTTTTAATACTCAAGATTCAACTTGGTCTCTAACACCATTCCTTAAGAAAGCCCCAATCTCAGGGAGTCCTGGGCTTTCTAAAATGCAAAAAAAAAAAAAAAAAACAAATAGGAACAAGGATAATATCTGCCTCCTGTGGCTGGTGGCTGGCCACTTCAGTTCAAGAGAAGGATTTTTAGAAGCATCTAAAAGTCTTGAAATCAAGACAACACAAAAGTGGACAGGAGAAAGACTCTGAATGCAAACTGGAAGAGTTTTCTGAGAAAGTGTAGCCGTTTGAAATATGGCGGTCTTTGACCCGGTGGAGAGAAATAATAAAAATGAGAATCAGAGAAGTCCTCTCTCTGGTGTCCACATGAATCAGGAATCTCACCTTCACCATCTCTGTTAATCAGTGTCCCTGTTCTGCACGGTGGTCAGGCTGCCATTCTCATTCTGTAGTGTCTGAGGTTTAATATTGTAAAGAACTGGCCTTATTTTATTCTATTAGATCTGGTGATAGAAAGGGAATTTGAATGGAGAGGTGTCTGCTTCAAAAAAAAAAAAAATTCCCAGAATTTGCCCAACATGGTAATTCCACCGAGACCTGACCAGCAAAACAATCACTGCTGAGAAATGAGAGAAGATACTGAGGAATTAAAACCCAGAGGACCACACCGGTTCTGTGCTCTAGGAACTGTCCATTTCCTTAGAAGTGACCATTCAGATTCTACTTTTTCTCTTTGCAGTCCAGCAGACTTCTCCCTGGACATACCAGGAAACAGTTTAGACATGAATATGGTGGTTCTTCTTTGGGTTTTTCAAATGTCAGTTTTAGCCCAAGATCCTTTAACTCTGCAGAAAGATCGCTGGGTGCATTGGGCCCAATGGGCCCCTTGGCTCTCTGCATTAATATAATAGTAATGGAAACACTCTAAGGATCAACACTCATATATGTCTTTTGCCCCCAAATGGAAAAAAAAAAAAAAAGTTCATGAACTGTTAGGAAAGTCAGCAGAAAAATTGATCTCTCTCATTCATCCAAATGAAATCATTCACTTTCATCCTAATTTAACCTTTCCCTTCTTTTTTTTTTAACACATTGTATGTTTTTAACTAGCAAAATTTCTATTTGCATATTAAACTAGAGAATTTTTAAAGTATTTTTTTAAAGTGGGGAACAATTAAGAGGGAAAAAAGGTATTGCCATATAAAGTACCGTGCCTTAACTTTCAGTGTAGATATTTAGTTGTTTTCCAGAATGAATGGAATCCATCACTCTAGATAAACTGGGAGGAGAGAGACTGAATACTATAAGGCTGTATGAATTTTCCTCGCCAGAAAGTCAAATTTATCATTACGAACACTGATTGAAATCATGTGGACCTTTTAGGGGCATCTCTTTTCTAAGCGAGAGAAACAAATAATTACTGTGGCAGAATCGTTCAAGTCTCTGGAGCTGTCATTTATGTCTGCAACATAAGTGTATTATTATGCTCCCTATTATTTTTCCAAATGATGATCTTAGCTAAAATGCAGAAGTCAGTTACTATAATTGTCTTCACCCTAAGTTCAAACTAGCCACCAGCTTTTGTCTGCCCATACTACATTTATGTCCACACTTCTGTACTTTCTCTTTTTTCCACAGAGGCAAACATATTCAGATATATTAGCAAAATGTAAGTTCGTGTGTGTTATTTGTGCGAGCACGTAATTTATGTGTACATGTTTTATTTATGCTTCACATGTTTACGGATGTGCACATGCATATATATTTAAAAGCAGAAAAGAGGTTAATCCCAAAGGAGAAGCATATAAAGACCCCTGGGCAACATGAGATTTGCAACATGAGATTTGCAACCAGAAACAGACTCAACTACTAATTCCTACGTCTGTTGCTGACTACAGTAGTTCCGCTCATCGCTGTGAGCCCCCAAAGAGTAGCAGCTAACACTTTGGCTCCCAGATACATCATCAGAGCATAGGGGAGCTATGAAAGATAAAAAAGAAAGAAATGGGAGCCTCCTACTTGGTCCTCATCCACAGATATAATTACTCTCCAACAAGGCTTGCACTGTATCCAATATGAAACATTTTAGTCCCTGGAAACATTATATAGAAAGAATATAAGAAGCAGTCTGTCTATTGTTCATCTGCTAATGTCCCCAAATGTCACCTAGGTAATTACTTGGATGACATTTATGTGATGCAGCTGGACATTGTTACAGTTAATATAAAGCCTGCCTTTGGCAACCACTTTATTTCTACCTACATCACCCTGTGGGCGTATGATGGCTTTTCCTGGAACACCCGCCTCCCCCAAATGATACCTCTGCCCTCTGTGTTTTCCTCTCATGCCCTGCACACCAATATCCAACATAAAAGAAAAGATTTTTTTAAAACGACAATATGATATATCTTTATCTTGATATTTATATTTAGAACTTTTAGAGATGTTTCTAAAAATCGTTTATCAAATATTATTATGCTGATATTTTCTTTATTCTAAACAGGTTTACATCATCCTCAGAAGCCTAAATTTACAAAATATACAATTTTTATGTCCATAAAAACAAATTTGTTCTCCAAGTGAAAATTCTTAGCAAAGCTGGATTTTTTCCCCCAATATGCATATCAAAAAAATATATATTTTCAGAAACACAGGAGTCAACATTTTTCCCCCAAACTCACATGCAAACTGCAGCTTTGCCTTCCGACTCAGAATGGTCCCCAGAAGATTGGTGGCCAGGCACTGGTACGTGCCAGAATCTTGATCTGTGCGGGGACTGCTGATGGCCAAGCTGCCTCCGTCTAACTTGTAGTGATAACTCATTGCAAAATCAATCTCTCTGCCATTTTGACTCCACCTTTAAGGAAAATAATTTTAAAAAGATCAAATGACATTTATAATTTGCAGGGTTCACTGCTAATTTTTCTTAAATGACATGCAGTTTTAATTCCTGCAATTATATAAAAAATATATTGTATGTTTACCAGTGGAGATCATCTGACCAATCCCCCTTAAGTTACCTGTCTTGAGCCCAGTGATACCAACAGGGAGGTTATTTGAAAGCTCTTGGACTCTTGGAAAGAGTTAGAGACATTCATCCCCATGTACATAGAGAGTCATGAGAACCACTGACATAAGAAATAAAAATTAGACATTCAGTCAATAATGCTGGCCATCCTAATCCTTTAGAGACTTTTTCAAAAAACATCTATCCATACCTGAACTCCCCCAAATTGCTACTGCAAAATTGGATGTCAGAAATGATTTAGAGATGGAAATCCATAAAGATTATATTACAAATGACGCACAGAATACCAGCAAAGATTTTGCAATGCCAATTTGAGGCTGATAACGAAACAATTATAACCTGACGATCCCAGAATATCATTGTCCGTTAGCCTGTTACTTGGAAAATTAATCACGTTGAAAATGTTTCAGCAGTACTTAGGAATGCCAACCTAAAATTATATGTTAGCAACGCAAATGCAGCGTGAGTCGTTTTTATTTTAGGAAGCAAAAAGTCTCTTGGTGTAGCTATTAGACAAGAATTCCTTAGTACATGAATTAACTAGATGAAGGGTGTAAACGTATTATTTATTTTCCAAGAAGCATAAATAGTTTAAAAATTCCATGTGGTCATTTTTCAGACAAATGAATACCCATCTCCAGCCAGATTCATTCCCCTGACCTTGCACCTCCTAATTCCCTCAAAACCTTCAAGTGTTTTGAAAAAATGAGTATTGCATACTTCGTGTGGTACGTTTTCAGAGCACAAGTTGTGTCCAATAATTTACATCATTTAAGAAAATCATTTGAAAATAGTGAATCGTGACAACTAATGGCCAGGCGGGAGAAAACTCATTTCCTGTTGTTTGGGATCTTTGTGGCTGAGACCTTTATTACAAAAGACAGTTTAAAAAGAGAAAAAACTTGCAGATTTGTTGAAGCTAACTCCTCTTCCCCAATACAGGATCCTTCAGGAGCAAAGATCCCAAACCACAGATAAAACTGTGTAGGTGTGTGCTAGTCTTTTTTTTTTTTTAAGTTAATTTTTGGTATGGGAGATTGAACCCAGGAGAACTTACCCACTGAGCCACACTCCTAGCCCTTTTTAATATTTTATTTAGAGAAAGAGTTTCCCTGAGTTGCTAAGTGCTTCGTTAAACTGCTGAGTCTGGCTTTGAACTTGCAATCCTCCTGCCTCAGCCTCCTGAATTGCTGGGATTAGAGTCTTGTGTGCTGGTCTTGATCAGGAGTGGACACTTATTAGGAAGAATAGATGGACAGAGGAAATTCTAAATCAGGGGCATCCTAGGCCTGTCTGTTAGATTCCCGTTGGTGTCTCTGAGTTTGGGGATAGGGCATTCCTTTCCTCTGGGTATAGAAAAGGTCCCTTTGGAATAAAGTTTTTTGACCTGGTTCAGGGATAGAAGAATGAGTGGAAGATAAGTGACCTTCTTGCTTCCACTATTTCATGCCCCAGTTCCATATTTTGGGGGCGATGTGTCCTCTACCCCATCACAGTCACTTAGAAAAACAAGGAATGATTCTCTTGTTCCTATGCACTGGGGCCAGTCACCCAACTCTTCTTTTTAGGGTCCACACCAGCTTTGCTATGATTCTTGCCTGCATAATGAAATCACATTAAAATGTTTTGGTGGGGATGGCTAATTCTAAGAAAGGAATGACATTTTACAGGCTGATTTCAAATGTCATTGGCTTTTTTTTTTTGGCGCATTCTGAAACACCCCATGGAGAGAATATGACACATGTCTCCAGAATTAGAAAGGAAATATGAACTTGGGGAGTCCTCTATCCTATTAAAGACAGGATCAAATATCAAATCGAGGAGAGGTTTTGAACCAACGCTGTCATTCTTAAATTACTTGGCCACTTCCTGTGTACTTCAACTTCTCTTTAATGAAAGGAGGCTGAAAGACAGTAGAAATGGATGGATTTTCTGCCAATTTGATTGTTCTCTCTCTCTCCTCTCTCTCTCTCTCTCTCTCTCTCTCTCTCTCTCTCTCTCTATCCCTTCCTTCTTTTCTTTCTTTCCTTTTCCTTCCTTCCCTCCTTCATTCCTTCTTTCTTTCTCCTATAGGGATCATACAGAATGTTTCTTGTTCTCCATATGAGGAAAGAGGGAAAAAAAATGAAGCTTTTCTTTCTGTAGGCCTGTCTCAAGAGGCCCATATTCTCCTTCAGAGCTATAATACCATCTTTCATAATTTGCTTACAGGGCACGATCTTTGTGCCACCAGGTTCCCCTTATCATTTCCAAAGCAAAGGATATACCATACTCAGTTTGCCAGCTCTCTTTAATTTTGGAATCAATCACCGAAATAACTGCTGTCATTATTACATGCTCCTAATTAAGCTCAGTAATTGTTTTTTCAACACAAATTCAAAGTTGTTGGCTTAGCGGCAGAAAATGAATTTTTTCACAAGTATCCCATGTGATCGTTCTAATCACAATGGTGCAATGATTATTAAACTATGCCTGTAGATCAGGGGTTCAACTCCCAGTGTGGGCTCTGTCCTCATTAATATGTTCTAATCAATGGAGAAATAACATTCGTGGATTCGAGCCATGGTCCCGCAATGTTACTGCTGGCACGGCTTCCCCAGCAGTATTTTCCTAGGATGAAAATGAGGAAATATGTTCTAATGAATGATTTGAAGCCCGAGAGTTAGCATTGGATTAATCTCAGGCAATGTCATGGATTTGAAGTAAAATCTTAACCTTTTGCCCTGGCACATCCTTCACTGTGAAGTTGTTAAGCCTCATGTTAAGAATGTAAGGAGTGGCAGCTATGTTTGGTGTGTCTTGCATGATGCATGCCCCCTGAGTCTGCGTGTGGAGATGATCGAAATAGAAAGTCTGAGTGACAACTCTAATGGGTTTGACTCCAACATCCAGGGCTCATGGGGAATGAATGATGACTTAATGATAAAGAGAAGCAACAGAGAATCGCAGAGAGGAGTACCTTTGGTGATCAGGCCAATGGTGACGTGTCAGAAATCTGATAATATTCAAAGTCCTTTTCCTGAAAGAGAGTCTATACCATATAGAAATCATATCCTGTACAGAAATGTTTCATTTTCCCAGATCAAATACTAGGAACTACGTTCATGGCTAGCACATATTCTTAGAACTTTCTAGACATAAACAAGCCTACCCAAGCACCATCTTTGGATAACCCAGTTGTCTTCCCTTTGCTAATATTTCTTGCTAGATCTCATCTTCTCCAACATTACCTGGTCTTAGAAAGAATACAGGTAACCTTTTCCTATGAGGTAAACATCTCCACCAGACTTGCCTAATGTTTCTATATCTCTTTGTTTTCAACCACCTCCTGTTGGTGGAGATGTTTACCTCACTGTGAGAGACTTTAGACAAAATTGCTTTTCAACTGTTTCCAATGTTCTGCTTTTAAATACTGTTATTTCCCCCCATGAGCTTTCATTTCTATACTGAATCTACTTTTTAAAAAAATCTTAACTCCTTTAAGAAGAACTAGAAACTAGTGAAAGAATTCACATTTGGCACCATGCTACTGTTTAAGGAAAAACAAAAATCTTTCGAAGCAATAGATTTCACTGTTGGTTTTTTTTCTCTTTTTCAAAACTGCTATGCTTGACTGGGGATGGTGGTGCACACCTGTCATCCTAACCACACAGGAGGCTGAGGCAGGAGGATTACAAGCTGGAGGCCAGTCTAGGCAACTGAGGAAGATTCTGTGTCAAAATAATAAAATAAAATAAAAAGGAGTGGTCATATAGCTCAGAGGCAGAATCCTTGCCTAGCAAGCATGAGACCCTGGACCCAGGTTATGTCCTCAGCAACACCAATCATCAGTCAAGCAAGCAAGCAAGCAAGCAAGCAAGCAATTTGGGAAAACATCACAAAATCTGATCAGAAAGCTGACTACACAGGACAGGAGTGATTATTCCAAGCTCACGCATGGAATGACAGTGGTGACTAGCTTAGTTCTAAGTCACTGCCTCTTTGTAGAACTTCAACCTGTCAAAATCTGTGATGGTCAACTTCTTCCAATGCACACACTCACCTCTCCACACATAATCTAAGATGAATACAAGTGAGTTTTCTTAAAATCTGAATTTAAAAGGGTCATCTTAAAACTAAAATTTCCATTGCAAATGTACGTTATCTGAAATACGTCTGCCCTTTGCTTGATTATCCATAAAAATATCCTAAAAATTTAATTTTTTTTCTCACTCTCTTTCTAAGTCTCTTTCTAGTAATATCAGAGATCAGCTTAGCCAGTTTAAGGAGATTAGAAGTAAGATGCTACCATTGCCTGTCTTTTAGCTTTGTAATTTACGCACACCTTAGGAACACAGGCCATTTAACAATAGAATTTCTAGTCTTTTTATCTCTTTATCAATGTACTAATTTGCAAAGTGTCTCCAGAACCACTCTTTTGTATCCTTCTACCTATTATAAGTCGATAAATATTTTACAAGTACATGATTTATTTATCATATATTTAGCAAACTTTTAAAAGAATTTGTAGGGATTCATATATTTTTTTTCCTTCTCTAGAATACCTTACCAACTCCTATGATCAATCAAATTAGTTTCCCCAAAATTAAAATGACAACTTCAAATGTTAGGAGATCATAAAATGCATGCAGAAGATTTTTAGATTATTTGAAGTTATGTTGGATAAGACAGTTCATTACTAAAACAAACAAACAAACAAACACAAAACACTGAATTGAGTGAAACAGTAAAGTGATTGTTCTTCCCCTAACCTTTGGATTTCATTGGTTTGAGAATCTCAGAGAGGAGAAACTTAATAAGTAGAATGAAGTTTTCAGTCTTCAGTTGTAATAAGATGCTAAAATTAGCTCCACAAAATATAAAATAGAAATGCCTTTAACTTTGGGCGTGTAAGTCCTTTAGTTAACTAATTTAGACTAATTTCAGAGCAAAATAATAATGCTTATATAGACTCTATTTTTACTGCAACCTAAACATTCCAAAAATAAGCTTATATTGTCAAATGTACTAAGATGATTACTTTCTGTCTATGTCAACTCCACATCTAAAACCGAAAACTTTTGGAAAATGCTTTTACAACCCAGATTTGCAAGTCATTTTTAATATTTTTGTGTGTGTGTTGTTTGCTGTGTTCACACTGTGTACTCAATTCTTACCAGCAAAATATCCTTATGATCTGCACAAGTATAATTGATACATGTATACATCATTAAATTTGTGCATCCTATCCACAGTATGAATCAAATTCTACCTGGATAAGTAAAACTGTAAACATTGCTGATCCTTCTTCCCTATTATTTCACAGGGAAGATGTCAGAGACAAATACATTTTTTTTCCTATTTGTCCACAACGCAAATCCTCTTTCTACCTTTAAAGGCATTTAGCTGTCTTCAACATCTATTTTTCTACAATCAATAATTGGGTGATGTGATCCAGTACTGAAGTTAGAGAAATTTATTTGCTAAGAGAAGTTTAAATTTCCATTTTATTTTATTTTTTTTCAAGCATACAAAGCAGGATTTATTAGAAAGGGGTAACATAGACTTCTCCTGGGAGAGAGAAGGGGGCCATAGCTGATATCCTGGTATCCCCTAAATTTTCACTTTAGTTCATTCCTTGTAGGGGATCATTTTTATAGTCCTTGTGTATGGGGAACTGGGACAATAGTCTCAGGTTGGTGTGAGACCGGGAATGCTTGCATTTTACTGTTTCAAATTGAGGTATAAAGATCTTTCCTTCCTGTATTTTCTCTTTTTATTTCTTTCCTGTTGTTTTCTGTTTTTTTGTTTTTTTTTTTCTTGCAGTATTTCCATACTCTGTTCTCCCTCTCTACCTACTCCTCCTACCTTTGCCTGTCTCTCTGAATTCTAACCACTGGCTCTGCACAGAATAAGTGCTGCAAGCAAACCTATTCAATAAGACAGACACAAGACAGCGGTCAGCTGGGGGGTGGGGGTGGGGATAATTAGTGCCTGGTGAGTGGCATGAGGAAACACTCTGGGGAACGCAAAGTGTCTGCATCTCTAACCAAGGGATGATTAGAGCTGTTCGGCTCTAGAAAAAGTATTGAGGGGTGTGCCTGATGGGGTTCAAGTGTACCACTTTATTGCATGTTTTATATCCACGAGAAAGGAGAGGTACTAAGCAGTAGGATTTTTACCTATAATGGGGTGAAGGGTAACCATTAGCAGCACAATTCAGGATGATCTCAGATCTTGATAAATCCAAAGGAAAAATGACATCTTGTGGCTCCTCGATAAAAGTAGGTGGGATCCAAGGACCATCACCTGAGAATAAAAAGAAGAGCATGACCTAAGGAGCATGCTTGAGCCTCTATGAAGTATCCAGTCTACACACCGTGTTACAATGTTTCACTTGGTAACAGCCTCACGCTTACAGAAAACCTTGGAAGGATGATGTATGCAAACCTTTATTTCTGAACCATGTATAGTAATTTTGCTTTCACCCTGAATTATCTGTATTTCCTACAACCAAAAGGCATCCATCTACACAACCACGATAAAACCCACAGCGGCAAGAAGTCAACATTGATTCAGGACTAACAGCCGATACTTGGGCGCCATGTATCTATTTTCTTAAGAAAATTTTATATATACTAAAAATTTACTTTTATATATAATTGTTCTCCTAAAATGGAATTAATTAAAATTTATATTATATAATCATATATATTTATATTATATGATATATATAAAGATGTTATATAGTATATATATATATATATATATATATATAT